CTGCTGTGATTTGGGAGGGCGCCCATGAGGAGGACCCTTCGGGTGAGGCCTGGGCCAGTGAGGCGTCCATCTTCCATTTCCTGGGACTCCCGTACATTGCGCCAGAGGCCCGCTCGTCTGATGTCACGGCTGCCCAGTTTGAGGAGCTGGCGCGGTCGCACAGCGCATTGCCTGCGGCGCCCGACGCGCTGGGGCCCCGCCCGCCCACTCCGGCCGGGCACCGCTCCGGCTCGCTGGTGGGTTCGCAGGGTGGCTGCATAGTTTTAGATCCAGATCCGGGCTCCGCCTGCACTCGATTTTCCGCCAGCGCCGACGCCGAACCCGTGGTGCTCTCCTCCGGCCTCACTGATGGCAGTCGCGCCCATCACGGTGGCAGTCAGGCAGAGGCCGCTTGGCGGGATGCTGGCGTCGTGGCCCTCGACTGCGAGTTCGTTGGCGTGGGCCGGAACACGGTCGGCATCGGAGGAGAGCGGAATGCTCTGGCCCGCGTGTCTGTCGTCTCCTACAGCGGGGACGTGCTTTTGGATACCTTCGTGCAGGTGCCAGAGCAGGTGGCAGACTTTCGCATCCACATCACCGGGCTCACGCAGTCGAATGTCGACTCTGGCATCGCCTTCGACCAGGCGCGGCAGACAGTACTTCGTCTTCTCGAGGGCCGCGTGGTCGTGGGCCACTCACTCGCTCACGACTTTAAGGTGCTCTCCTTCCGCCCGCCGCCAGCGCTCGTCCGGGACACCTCTGCGTGCAAGCTGCTCCGGACGCCAGGCGTGGGGAGATCGTTGAAGGCCCTCGTCGAGCACCACCTCGGCGACAGGATCCAGGAGGGCTTCCACGACTCCGTGGAGGACGCGCGGTGTGCGCTCCGGCTGTACAAGCTCGTGCAGGGCCCGTGGGACGCGGGGCGCGCGGTGCCCTCGGGCCTCTCCGCCCCGCTCCCCGCCTCTCCCCGCCTCCGCGCGGCCGCCCGCGCGCTGCTCCCTCCCCCCGCGCGGGCAGAGCCGTGTGGCCCAGCCTCTGCGGTCGACGCTGGCGGCGACGGCGCCGGCGCGGGAGCCAACGGAGATCTCGCGGAGAGCTTCGAGCGGCGCTGCGCGGCTGCCACCGGCTATAGCCGCCAGCACTACCTGCGTGTCGCGCGGACTCTCCGGGCTCTGCCCTTCCCGCTGCGCACGGCGGAAGACCTGGAGAGGCCCGAGCTCCGCTGCGTCGGCAAGGGCAAAATCCACATAGAATTGCAGCGTCTTCTGCGCGAGCGCGGCTGAAAGAAAACAGAGAAAGGCCAAACAAAGAAAGGCAGCCATTATGATAGAAACGTCGAAATATCATGACGACGGGCCATTCATTGCCATCCCCATCCCACCCTCTCGTACTATGGCGGCGACTACAGCGACCACTCGCCACGGGCTCCTACTGTGAGCATCCTTGCGTCTATGTCTACTACCGCCAGCTACTAGCTAGTGCTTGCTGCTTCTTCTTGAATTGAACCCACTGCTCGATTATGGCACACATTGCTTCGACGCTGCGTTCTCCAGGGCTCGTCCCGCGGGTTTTCGAGCAGGATGGCATGGCGTTTTCAACGTGTGCTTCCGTTCGAACGCGCTGCCTATTTTTGACGACCCCAAATGTGTTTGGCTTTGTGCATAAGGATTGACGCGAGGGGACGGCCTTCTAAGAAGGCGGGGGCCTCCTCAGAAGGGCCGGGAGACTCCTAAGAGGACTTCTTAGAAACATCCAGGCCCTTCTAGGAAGGCCCCCACTTTCTAATGAGCACCCCACCTCCTTGGAAGGCCCGACTCCTCTCCTCCTCCTCCTCCTCCTTCTCCTCCTCCTCCTCCTCCTCCTCCTCCTCCTCTTCCCCTCCTCCTCCTCCTCCTCCTCCTCCTCCTCCTCCTCCTCCTCCTCCTCCTCCTCTTCCTTGGAAGGCCCCCACCCCTCGCGCCAACTCCCTGCGCGCGTCGCCGACGTGGCCGGCCCTGCGGCGCGCACACGTGGCGAGGCAGGGCCTGTGCGGCGAGGCGCTCCGCAGCCCGACACGGCGCGCCGCAGTGCGCCGCCGAATCGAATCATAGGAAAGATGCAAGTGCCAGCTGGAGGGTTTCTCCGAAGGGCTTAGGCGACCCGTCCTCCTCCCTCCTCCTCCTCCTCCTCCTCCTCCTCCTCCTCCTCCTCCTCCATCTCCTCCTCCTCCTCCCTCCTCCTCCTCCTCCTCCTCCTCCTCGTCCTCCTCCTCCTCCTCCTCCTCCCTCCTCCTCCTCCTCCTCCTCCTCCCCTCCTCCTCCTCCTCCTCCCCCTCCCCCTCCTCCTCCTCCTCCCCCTCCTCCTCCTCCTTCTCCTCCTCACCCCCCTCCTCTTCCACCTCCTCCTCCTCCTTCTTGGGGTGCCGACGGCCCTGGGGGAAACCGTGCAGTGCCAGCAAGCGGCTGATCTTTCTCGTGTGGCAGGCAAGCGTCATTCATGATATAACCCATCTCCAAGCCGAATGTATCGTCTTCCGAGGCAGCACGCAATACACCTGATCATGCTTGCCACGTGAGGAGCCCGATGTGGCTCCCGCCTGCTGAGTCGACTCTGGCCAAATCGTGTTGTGATCAACGCGCAAATGACCAACACTTGCCTGATCATGCCACCTGCTTGCTCGTGCCTCTGCGACAAGCGGATGGCAATGGCGATCGAATCCAGATCCGTGAACGAGTTTCTCCTTGCCATCGTGATACTGCCAGCACTGACGCCACACGAGTCTCTGAGCTTCGGCCCCCCGCAGAGGGGGGTATGGGGGAGGGGGGAAGGCTTCTTGGAAGCGCCCCTACCTCGTAGAAGGCGCGGGCCTTCTCTTTACACGTAGGGCCGGCGCCTTCTGGGAAGCAGCCCCCTTCTAAGAAGCCTTCCCCCCTCCTCCTACCCTTCAGTCGGGCATGTTCCCCACTACAGGAGGAAAATTCGAAAGTAGTCAAACGATTGTCTTGGGACGCTTCTTTGTTGTTGAGTATATATTGCATTCGTTTTGATTATCTTTTGAGCATGTTTGATTCTTCCTCCGAGGCCCGCCTGCAGGAGGACATGCCCGACCGAACCCCACCCCCCTCTGCGCGCCGCCAAGTGTCGAGAAACCCACGATGTCGAATGGCACCCAGGAGAGCCGAGCCGCCATGAGAGGCGAGCCATCGGTGGAGCGAGAGAAGCACGGCGGCACGACGGGAGCGGGCGTGCTCGCTGCCCGTGCCCCGGCATGCGCGGGACAGGGTATGGATACCCATCGGTCGTTGAAAGTAGAGGAGGGGGAGGAGGAGGAGGAGGAGGAGGAGGAGGAGGAGGAGGAGGAGGAGGAGGAGGAGGAGGAAGAGGAGGAGCAGGAGGAGGAGGAGGCGGAGGTCGAGGAGGAGGAGGAGGAGGAGGAGGAGGTGGGAGGATGATGAGGAGGAATAACAATACTAATCATGAGAAGAATACGAAGAATAAGTCTAATAACCATATTAACAAGAACAATACGAGTAGTAAGAATAATCCTGCGAATGCCAAAACTCATCGTACCAGCCCATTGCCACACAAACATAACACTTATCATACTAATAATAACATTGAAGACTGTTCATAATATGAATACTAAGAATATCAATGATGATAATCATGATAACAACAACATTAATACTATTAACAAGCATAAAAATATGATGAGGATGCGGAGGAGGAGGAATAGTATTTTTGGATTTCCAGATTCCAAGCTACAATGATCGAGCGGTTTCACCTTTTCCGTTCTCCTTGGGGGGCGGTCAGACACCCAATCTATTTTCAACGCCTCCCTACTTCATGTTTCTACCTGCTTCTTCCGACCGATGGGTACGACAGCAAGTATTCGGCGGCGGGCGAGGGGGGGACGGGAGAAGGAGAAGGCCTTCTCGGAAGGCGGCGGGGCTTCTGAGAAGTCCTCGCGCCTTCCGAGATTTTTTTTTCTTTCGGTCTTCGCGGAAGGCTCAGGGACAACTTCTCCGAAGGCGGGGGGACTTCCGAGCCTTCGGAGAAGGCCTTCTCTCGGCGTCACCCCAACAGACTTCTACTACATGTGCGTCGCCCCCCCAGGGGCGACGCGCGCACCGAGAAATCTTGTAGTATATGCGTCGTGGCGGGCGCTTTCTGGCCATACCGCTGGGGAAACGATACACGACGAGATGGGTGTACTAAATGTTCGGGTCGGACGCGCGCCTCCAAGGTGGACGGTGGACATATAGTACTAGTATGTCTCTGCGCGTCCCATTCTCTTTCTCACTTCCCCCCCCTCGCTCGCCGCCGAAGTCTGCGCCGTCCCTGCTGGGGCTTCGGCCAGCGCTCGGGAGGAGGAGGAGGCGGAGGAGGAGGAGGAGGAGGAGGAGGAGGAGGAGGGGGGGGATGAGGAGGAGGAGGAGGGGGATGAGGATGAGGAGGAGGAGGAGGAGGAGGAGGGAGGAGGAGGAGGAGGGAGGAGGAGGAGGAGGAGGAGGAGGAGGAGGAGGGGAGGAGGGGAGGGGGAGAGGAGGGGGGGGAGGAGGGAGGAAGAGGAGGAGGAGGAGGAGAGGAGGAGGAGGAGGAGGGAGGAGGAGGAGGAGGAGGAGGAGGAGGAGGAGGAGGAGGAGGGGGGAGGAAGAGGGGGAGGGGAGAAAACATACAGACGCAATGAATCGTCGACTCCCAAGAAGATGTGGGAAAATGTGGGAAGTGGGGGCAACACGAAAACCCAGAACATGTGAGAAGACGCGGGGAATTCTGGGATTTGTGTACATTAATTCGTGTGTCCCTGGGCCCCTTCAAGGATCACCGCCCACCAGACCACCCCAACCCGACCCGCAGGCTCCGATTTTTGCCCTCCGTTTCCAGTCTGGGGGGTCGGGGAGCATGGAAAACCACATCTGAAGCCCGCGCTCCCAACCAGCCCGAAATTCTGGTCTTCGGGTGGGGCTGGGGGTGGTCTGGTCAGGTTGCGCGCGAGAGAGCACGCTCCCCGGGCCGGCCGCCCCCGCGCCCGCGGGCAGGACTGTCGCGGCAGGCCTCCGCTGGAGCCGAGCCAGCAGGCGCGGCCGGGGGTGGGCAGCTCTCAGAGGCCCAGATCGCAGAAGAAAGCACGCCATGAAACAAAAACATGCACTTTTGGCGATCCGCGCGGATTTCTTGGATCCGTGCTGGGCCCCCCCAGCAGCGCTTCCGGCGCCGCCCCTGGCGCGCTCCGCGCGCCAGGGAGGGGGGTCCAGCGCAGATCCAAGAAATCCGCGCGGAGCGCCAAATGTGAATGTCTATGGCGTTTTTTCTTTTTCTGCGAGGAGGGGAGACGATCCCGATCGCGGTGATGGTGGCTGATGGTGGCAATGTTCGGGCTTCCAGGGTGGCCGGGATAAATGCCACCACCAGCACCCACATCTGGGATCCGCTTCCCCCCCCGGTTGAGGCAGACCCCAGTGTCGGTGCTGGTTCCGCGATTACAAAGGGTGCGGTTACGCCGGGGTGTGGTTTGCGATCGGCGCCGTGGGGGCCTGGGGGGCCCGACACTGTCCGCGTCGGGCCTCTGCGGGGCGCGGCGGAGAGCTCCGTCGAGGCCCCCGCTTGCCCCCCAGGGTGCCCCCCCAGGGTGCCAGTTGCAAACCGCACACTCTGCAAACCACACCCTTTGGAGCTGCCGAGTGGTGCCGATCTCACCGAGGGAAGACGCACGATGCGGCCGAGGCTGAAAGAACCAGGGGCCTCGGGCTTTCGGGCACGCAGGCGTCCGCCACGCGGGCCAGCTCGCGGGGCCGGAAGTCCCCGGCCCGCAGCGGGCGCTCCTCGCTCAGAGGGGGCCTCCTCGGAGGTGGGCGAGGGGGAGGAGGAGGGAGGAGGAGGGAGGCGGAGGAAGAACGAGCGAGGAGGAGGAGGGATGAGGGAGGAGGGAGGAGGGAGGATGGAGGAGGAAGGAGGGAAGAGGAGGAGGGTGGGATGGGAGGGAGGGAGGGCGGGCGGGCGGGCGGGCGGGCGGGCGGCGGGGCGGGCGGGCAAGCGGGAGGGAGGGAGGGAGGGAGGGAATGAGGAGGAGGAGGAAGAAAAAAATAATCTGAAGGAGTGATGAGGAGGAGGAGGAGGGGCGGAGGAGGAGGAGGAGGAGGAGGAGGAGGAGGAGGAGGAAGAGGAAGGAGGCGGGCAAA